AGGGGGTATTCCTTTCCCACTGACTGCTGGGGGTAGAGTCCTTATAGTACCTTGAGAAAAAATAATTTTCTGAGGCTCTCATGGGAGGAAAAGTGATTTTAATTTGATGTAAATACATCCCTGGGTTTCCATATTCCAATTTCCCTTAGTCCAGCTGTGGAAGAAGTGTAGATGGGGTTTCAGTGAAGCTAAAGTCAGAGCCAGTGTCCAGAGTTCCTGTTCCGTGTTACAGCCAGACTTGGCAAAACATCAACTTAGTGTGGCCCATCAGTTCATTGCGTGTGGGGTCCCATGGCTGTGGGCTACATGGGAGAATGCAAGACGCCCAAAAGCCTGGAGTCAACCAAGAGGCAAGAGACCAAACTGCTTTGTAGAGGGGATTAAGTATCCCACATTTCATGCCCCTGAAGTGGTCGTGTGCATTCTGGCCAATGACCTATGCCCAGGTGTGACTGACAGGAAGGTACCTTCCCATGTCACCCCAACTTCACTGGGCATGCGTCTATCTCCCCCCCCACCCCCCCGACCCAATACTTTCCCCAGGGATCTGCTGGGAATGGACCAGTGACTGCCTAGGGTAGGGGTGTCGAGCTCAATCAGAGAAGGGGCCAAAATCTAAAATCCAGCCTAAATCGCGGGCCGAATGGTTTACTGAACAGTCATAAACTGTCATTGTGATGGAAACGCAGCGAGTGCAGTGATGACAGCGCGGTGCGGGCCACATTGCAAAGCCTGGCGGGACGGATTTGGCCCGCGGGCCTTGTGTTTGACACATGTGGCCTAGGGGGTGTAAAGCTGCCCAAATAAGATGCCTGCAATATTTGGCCTTCCCTTTACTCCTTTCTTGTTTTAATGACTAGGTTAATTACAATGGTATAAGGGAGAGCACAGAATTCTTGGGCCATGATTTTGACATTGTTAAAGAGAGAATTACAACATTTAAGGCTATGACCAACAAGTGCCTTAAAATGTATTATCTAGCAGCCCCGTGCTAGATATCCAATATGGAGAGCCACGGGGCTGCAAACTATGGCTGGAGGATTCATTCACAGCATGCTGTGGGATAGGCCCCGCTGGGAAGTCTGTTCAGTAACAAGGCCATAGGAGTTCAGTGTTTAGACCTCCGTAGTGTCACTTCCACCGTGAAAAGGGTGCAGGACCTCCACTTACCTTTCTGTTTAAGTGTTTTAGGGGAAGTTTTTAAAAGCCCTGTCGAAAAGGAATGTTCTACATGTGTATGATGTCACTGGTACAATTAATGTAACAAATAGGGTCACCTTTAATGCGATTTTTACAAGATAAAAAAATTCAGAGCAGTAAATACTCAGGGCGCCCATGTGGAGCCATTACCTGGCCTCCGGGCGGCCCCCAGGCAGCGTGCCGGGGGAGCCGGTGCCTGGAGATGCTTTTAGAACTCTGCAAGCCCACGTTAATGTGGAGGAAAGGGGGAAACAAGCTGATGCAAAGCCATTTCCCCAGAAAGCCATTTCCTATTTATGGGCTGTAGTTATTAGTTCTCATGTAGACAGCATTTTCTATTCATTTCAAAACTTATCATTATAACCAACCTCTTAAATCCATTTCCTCTTCCCTCCTTTGTCCCCATAAATCATCCCTGTACTTTTCCCATCCCAGTCCAAGAAGCATTACCATTATGTTCACACATGGGGTCAGTCGTTAGCCATTTGTTGAAATACTCATCCTTTGTCTTAAAGAACACATAAAAGTGGCACAAAGTATTTATTTATTATGAAATGGAATCTTCCACTAATTGGGATCTTTGTAACTGTTTTTCTTTTTCTTTTTCTTTCTTTTTTTTGCTTCTTCCAAAACATAAAGCAGAATAGAGTCATAACAGTCAAAGGGGCTTCCCCGAGTTTCAGAACACCTGGGTTTCAGAACACCTGGGTTTCAGAACACCTGGGTTTCAGAAGAACACCTGGGTTTCAGAACACCTGGGTTTCAGAAGAACACCTGGGTTTCAGAAGAACACCTGGGTTTCAGAAGAACACCTGGGTTTCAGAACACCTGGGTTTCAGAAGAACACCTGGGTTTCAGAAGAACACCTGGGTTTCAGAACACCTGGGTTTCAGAAGAACACCTGGGTTTCAGAAGAACACCTGGGTTTCAGAACACCTGGGTTTCAGAAGAACACCTGGGTTTCAGAAGAACACCTGGGTTTCAGAGCACCTGGGTTTCAGAACACCTGGGTTTCAGAACACCTGGGTTTCAGAAGAACACCTGGGTTTCAGAACAGCTGGGTTTCAGAACAGCTGGGTTTCAGAACACCTGGGTTTCAGAAGAACACCTGGGTTTCAGAACACCTGGATTTCAGAACACCTGGGTTTCAGAAGAACACCTGGGTTTCAGAAGAACACCTGGGTTTCAGAACACCTGGGTTTCAGAACACCTGGCTGGAGTCCTGGATCTCATTTTCCAGCTGTGTTACCTCAGACAAGATTCTAAACCCTCTGAGCTTCTGTTGGCTACCCTATACTGGTAAAATCAGAGCAAAGATGCCTGCTTTAGCCCTAGCCCGTTTGGCTCAATAGATAGAGTGTTGCCTTCAGGACCAAGGGTCCCAGGTTTGATTCTGGTCAAGGGCACATACCTCAATTGCAGGCTTCTCCCTGGCCCAGGTTCCGGTTGGGTTCCTGCAGGAAGCAACTAATCGATGTGTTTCTTTCACATCGATATTTCTCTTTTTCTTTCCCTCTCTCTTCCACTCTCTCTAAAAATCAATGGGAAAATATCCTCCGGTGAGGATTAAAAAGACAAAAACAGAAAAAGATGCCTGCTTTACCCAGCTTGAAACTTTCAGGAAGATTAAAGGTTTCTGCCGAGGCCTCTTTCCACGGCTTGCGGGTGCCCTTCTGCTTCCCGAGTCCTCTCGGCCTCTGAGCACACACATCCCTGCTGGCTCTTGGTTACAGTCACCTAAAAAAGATCTCATCTTGAAATATGGTTACATTCTGAGGTGCTGGGGGTTTAGGAGAACACATTTCAGCCCATAGAAGTGTCCAACATCCTCCGCTCAGAGGTAAGAAATGCCTCAGCATGGGATGAGACAGTCTCTTCCAAGGTCGCATGCTTTTAAGACTTTGGCACTTTTATAAAGCAGACCTCAGCAACCCTGTGAAATGCAATCCCATTAATCACTTTAAATGAGTGTCAGAAAGAGTAGTCCTGAATTTCCCATTTCTCATACTAATTGACAACATCTAGAAAGGCCCTCCCTGGGCACCCTGGACCTGCGGAGCGTCCCACAGCAGCACTGCGGGCCCTGGGCTCTTAGATGTCCATGAATTCCTCTATTAGAACAGCAGAGGTGTACCCCGTCTATGTGTGGTTTTCTCCCCAGTTGGACTCTTCCTCCTTTGTTCAGTCCCCCTAAATGACACCCCACTTCTGACTGGTAACCTGAGGCCTCCTTAATTCTGGTCTTTCCTTTGCCTCTCTCATCTGACCCAGGAGCAAATCAAGGTGGCTTTGCCTCCACATACTTCATACCTCGCAGTGAATTCGCCCCTACCCCTCAGGAGCTGAGCTCCCAGTCACCATCAGACCTGCCAAGACACCAGAAAATTCGCCTTGGGCTTTCCTCGCTTCCTGCCTCTGTGCTGGTGCTGCAGCATAGGGGCCTTGGGAAAGCCTGAACACTGTCCGGGGCTTCCCACTGTCACCAGAGTGTAACCCTGGCTCCTTGCCTGGGACCACAGGCCCTTTGGGACATGGCGCTGCCTGTCTCAGCTGCTCCACTTGGCCTGTCAGAGACACTCCAGGGGGGTTGTGTTTCAATTCCTTGTATGCTGAAATTGTCCCCACTACTGACAGTTCCTTCCACCCAGAACTTCCTCCCTCCTTCTCTGCCCAGGCTTCCAGCTTTACCCTTCTTTGACTTTTTCACTGCGGTTAGCTCAAGAGGTTTTTAATCTACAATTGTGCATGCGAACACTTTCTCATTTGTTTGCCTCCATGACAGTGTGTCTGGGCACATTCAATTACTCTGCTAACTGTCAGCCTGCCTATCTGGCCACAATCCTTTCCCACTGGCAAGGGAGACAGGTGAGGAGATTCAGTTCAAAACAGTGAGTGCGTGAAGGGTGATATGCCAACACCTTGCCTCCTCCTTGGGCTGGCAGAGCCCGGCCAGGCTGCTCTCACCGCCATCGGGTGGAGATGAGAGACGCATGGGCCGGGCGCCAGCACCTGCTCTTTAGGGCCTGGCCCACTCCTGGAGGCCTTGGGTCAGTTTGTTGCCTGCTCCTTGCACATGGAGGTTAGGCTACCTAAGGACACTAGGCAGGTGGGTGACAGTGGGTAACTGCCTGTCTAGGAGGAGCGAGGTGTCCCAGGAAGCACTACAAACATGAGCTGCTGTCTCCATGGCACAAGCTCCCCCAGGGCCCGCAGACATGGCTCTTTCACTCCCACTTCTACTCTTGGTCCATGATCCTTTCATAGTCCATTTTCAGCCCCTCCTCATGACATTTCCCAAAAAAAGGACCTAAGGAAAGAAAAAGAGGGTTGGGCTGCAGAGGGCAATGTGGCCTGGATCCCAGGTAGTGTGTTCCCTTGTCTCCTGCCTGTCGCTGAGATCTGTCAAGTCTGGACAAAGGTAGCATCACTAGAGGGCATTTTAGGTATCATAGCTCCTCCTGGTCAGTGCCCATTTGTTACAGGATCGCTGCCATCAAAAAATAGAAAAAGAGAGACAATAAAACCACAGCATAAAGATGCTAGTAATCTTTAACCCCTGTGAATTTAGCTAATACCAGGGGTCTTGATCCAGCATCTAGAAGGGTTCAGGAAACCTGAAGCAGTAGCTGTGCATAAATTAAATAAGAGTCCAGAGAAGAAACATAATTTTGAAAGGCATTTGGGGGTGGGGGGGGTGGGGGGGCGCAGAGGAGCCTGGCTAAAGAAACCAAGTTCTCCTTCTCTCAGTTCCCCTTGTATTTTATTAACACAAATTGTCCTAAGGCAAGGTGAAGATTAACACATCAAAGGGTAGGGTTAGGTACAGAATCCATTGTCAGATTGGGGAATTGCCTTCAGCTGTCCAGGTGTTTGGCCACCAGGTGGCAATAACATGTAGATTAGATGCCCTGAGCTGCCTGGCAGCAAGCAATCCTCCTTTTCAGGTTTGTGGAAATGCCTTTAGCCATTTCCAACAGGCTATAACATATGTGACTCAGCCCTTGTAGAGTTCCCAAGTGCCATCAACCTTTCGATGAAACTCTTGCAATTATGATATGCTGGAATTGGCTTCTGGCATTTAGCCTAATTAAACATATATTATACATAACACAAACTAATATCCAGCAAAAGGGCATATGATTTATACTATCTCAACATGAGAGTGTAAGGTAGCCACCAAAGTGTTAGGTGGGAAGACATGGGAAATTCCCAACAGAGTATAAAGAAGTCACAGGACTACAGTAGAAGAAGGATTTTACACTTGGAAATTCCATTTTTTCTTGGTTCAGTGAACTAATGGGTAATTTTTAAGTTAAATTTTTTTCCTTGAATTCTACCCTTTTATTTATTTGCATCTCCTAAAGAAACAATTTAATCATTTACCTAACTGTGAGATCACTTGTCAGCAATATGTAGCAACAGCGACTAGACCACAGGCTGGGAGACCCAAATAACACAAACTTATTTTCTCACAGTACCAGAGGCTAGCAATCTGAGATCAAATTGTTGGCAGGGCTGACTTCTGAGGCCCTTCCCCCTGTGTCCTCACATCCTCTTCTGTCTCTAGGGATCTGTGTCCTAATTCCTAATTTCTTATTAGGATGCCAATCATACCGGATTAGGATCTCCTCTAATGACCTCATTTTAACTTAATTAAAATTTGTAAAAATCCTCTCCAAAGGCTGTTTTGAGGTCCTGGAATGGGGTTGGGGGATAGGGGGCATTCAGCTCTTAAAAGTGACATCATAATATTTCCACTTAGTGGAACAGTATCTTGTCATCATATTCAATGATTTATTGTAAATGTTATATCTAAAGCATACTCTGGGACATAAGAGGCAATATAATATCATTTTTTTATGTCTTTATCATGATCTGTAGGTCCAGATTCTTCTCTCCAGTTTAAGTCTAGTGTTGTTAACCACCAAACTTACTACCTCATTGGTAAACCAATAAAAACTTGTAGTTATTCCCAGACTTTTGGAGTGTCTTCTTAAAATAACTTGATCTTACTGAGTTTTTCCTTCTCACTTGATTTGTAAACTGTGGTTGAAATTAAGCCTGTGTTACAAACGACTCCATGGCAATTGTGTGTTGTGGTCCCAAGGGCTGTTGTCTGGTCGTGCTTTACACTCATAGCCTGGCAGGCTGGTGTCTTTGAGGTAGATATGTCTGGGATGTTCTAAATATAGCTGTAATAATGTTTAAGTATTTTAACATCATATACACACAGTATGAATATTCATGCACACATACATCCTATCTAATAAAAGAGTAGTATGCAAATTGACCATCACTCCAATACACAAGATAGCTGCCCCCATGTGGACACAAGATGGCCACCACAAGATAGCCAGCAGGGGAGGGCAGTTGGGAGGGACCAGGCTTGCAAGGGAGGACAGTTGGGGGAGATCAAGCCTTCAGGGGAAGGCAGTTAGGGGTGACCAGACTGGCAGAGGAGGGAAGTTGGGGATGACCAGGCCTGCAGGGAAGGGCAGTTGGGGGGGGGGGGGGGGACCCAGGCCTTCAGGGGAGGGCAGTTAGGGGAAATCAGGCTGGCAGAGGAGGGAAGTTGAGGGCAAACAGTTTGGCAGGGGAGCAGCTAAGCATCAATCAGACTGACATGGAAGTGGTTAGGGGGTGATCAGGCTGGCAGGCAGAAGCAGTTAGGGATAATCAGAAAGGCAGGAAGGTGAGCAGGTGGGAGCCAGCAGTCCTGGATTGTCAGAGGAATGTCTGACTGCCCATTTAGGGAGATTGGAGAGGGTGCAGGCTGGGCTGAGGGATACACCCCCTCTGAACAAATTCCATTAACCAGGCCTCTAATATATATACATTCAAATATTTAAACTATACAACAGATTCTAATTCTGCTTTTGTTTTCTAAACTCATGCTCATGAATTAGGAGTGATATATTCTGTTGGCCAGTCACAATCCTGTTATTTTAGAAATTATTTTCTCAGCAACTTGGATTCTAGGAATTCATTACTTTTGTTGGCCTCTTACAGCAAAGTACCATTTTCACATGAAAAAAATAAGACTCCAAAGGTTGTCTAAAATCATTAAATTAATCTTTGTTGATCTCTGACTACAAAATTACTGACTAGATACATCTTTGAAGATTTACCAGAGGCAAGTGGATATTTATTTCTTTAGGGACTCTGTTATTACAGCTCTTCCTCTTGGGCCCCAGCTGCTCTTCTTATCCAGCATCTTCTGCAGGCCTGGGGCTTAGCATGGGGTCATCGTTGAAGATCAACATCACCTTTCTCATACATACTAATAATAGCAGTTGGGAATTTGGAGATTTGGGCTATCTGTAAAATATGGATTACTTTGCCACTTTACAGATAGCAAAACAGGCCTACACTGTTCCTGATTTATTATTATTTTTAAAAATATATTTTTATTGATTTTTTACAGAGAGGAAGGGAGAGAGATAGAGAGCTAGAAATGTCAATGAGAGAGAAACATTGACCAGCTGCCTCTTGCACACCCCCTACTGAGAATGTTCCCGCAACCAATGTACATGCCCCTGACCGGAATCGAACCTGGGACCTTTCAGTCGCAGACCGACGCTCTACCACTGAGCCAAACCGGTTTCAGCTGTTCCTGATTTATTTAAGAAAGCAGCACATTCAGGGGCAGCTCAAGGATGAAAACCAATGGCCTCCCAGCCCCCAAATTGGGAGCCAGGCCCATGAATTATCCTGCCACTGACATAACTAATATTGCAGGAGAAGAGTCAGGGCAATTCTGACCTCCAGATACAATAACCTTTACAAACCCTGTCTCTCCTTAATTATAGTAGTAATGTGAAAAATGATTTTACTCATAAAGCTTGTAAACCAACAATAGAATGTTGTTAAATATATATATTTGCAGATGTCCACTGGGCAATGAGTCCTGTAACTTAGGCACACAAACTCCTGAGGGAGGAGAGACAGAAAGATAGATAAATTTTCATTACAAATAGAACTATGTAAGCATACTATTTCTGTACCTTGTCTTTCTTGTTTAATAATATATTACAGATATCATTCCACGATATCACAAAAAAATTACCTTTTTTTTACTGGTTGCCTATAGCCCATTATGTATAGGATTTGTTCTATGCATATAGGCCGGGCAGAAGCAGGGTTACAGTTGTGAGTATGTGAAGCACAGAGTATATTCTTATATTATTATTTATTTGTATTATGACTATAAATCTACTTTTGCCCACTCCTGTATATTGGATTCATTATCATTTATTTAACTTCCCAATAGTTCCCTAAGGCAAATCACACTATAGTAACTCTTGACCAAATGTTCTTGTGTGCACTTGTGAAATTATTGGGTTAAAACCTTCATGTTATTTTTTTTTCTCCAATGTAACTGATTTGTTTTTATTCATTTTATAATCTTTTTATTTGTTTTATTCCATCTTAGGTTCCATTACATTTTGCCTATATCCGTCGTGTGTGTGTGTGTGTGTGTGTGTCACAGCATAGTGATGTTTTTCATTTTTGTTTTATTTTGCCATCATATATTTTTACCACTGTTGTGCAGAGTTTTAAATAATAAGAATAGTTTTCCTTCTTTAAAAACATCTAAATTTATCCTCTAAAGCATTGTTTTTGTCATGTTATTTTTTAAATTTTCGTTTTTTGTAAAAAACTGTAAGATATAGTTCTTGTGCTATATGCAATTTACCCCATTTAAAATGTGCAACTAGTGGTTCTTAGTGTGTCTGCAGAGTTGTGCAACTGTCATAACAATCTATTCTGAAACATTTCATCACTCCCCAAAAGAAATCCTTTACTGTTTAGTTGTCACTTCCTAAGCTACAAATCTATCATTTATTTTTATTTGTTGTTGTTGTTGTTAATTCTCACCTAAGGATATTTTTTCATTGATTTTTTAGAGAATTAAAGGGAGGAGGGAAGGGAGGGAGGAGAGAGATTAGAGATACACATCAATTGGTTGGTTTGGTTGCCTTCTACATGCACCCTGAGGGCCGGTAATCAAACCTGCAGCCCAGGAACATATCCTTGACTGGAAATCAAACCAAACTGCAGACCCTCTGGTGTGTAGGCTGGTGCTCTGACCCTCAGCCATACTGGCCAGAATACCAATTCTATCATTGAAAGTTTTAAAGAAACTGTGCCCTCAAAGCAGCTTATCGACCGTGTTCCCACCAATAGTCCACTGAATGTCAGTTTCCTCAGACCCTTCCTATATTACCAGAATATTTAATTTTTATTGGTTTTTTAGATTTAAAAAATGTATTGCTTCAGTTGCATGTATTTTATCATGATTGGTACTAACCATCTATTTTCGTGTTTCCTGACCATGTGTGTCTCCTCTCTGGGCAATGTATTGCAGACCTATTTTAAACACAAGAAGACGTATTGTTGTCACTGCTTTAGTTTTATCCCATTGACCATGGCATGATACACTACCTGGGGCTGGGGGTAAGTGGGGGTCACTATGAAGTTAGTTAATATGAATTACAAAAGCAAAAGCACCTCCGAAGAGGCCCCAGACACCCAGAAACCTGCCCTGGCACTCCATGCCCCTGTCTGCAGGCCTGAGCCACTTGGCCTGAGGGTTCTTTTCATTGGGACGGTAGCCTCCAGTGGTCAGAGGTAGAAGAGGATGCTGACCCCCACGATGACCACACTGCCAGGTATCAGAAAGCCTCAGCCTGACTCTGCTAATCATGTCCCCATTTATTAGTAAGCCAGCAAGATGTTGTTATGCTGCTCGTGGTGGGAAGCCCAGTGTACTCCCAGCAATCTTCCCCTCACCTAAGGGATGTGACAATAATATCTATATAGTATTTAACATATTTGAAATGGCCAGTCCATTTGTAACACTCCTTCCTCTCTACGACAAAATCATTTCCAGTATAATCCTGCAATGATGATGATTATACTAAGCATGATTTTCCTGAATCTACATCAACAATTAAAAA